AAGGGTACTAACTATCTGAAGAAAACCATAACCTGTTTCAAATTAACTGATTCTTTATTATCTCATCGTTCAGTTGAATAGAATTCACAATTTTGGCTCTTCTTCACTTGCTTTAGACACGTGAAGTGCTAACCTAATCAATGAATGCGACTCATTTTATTAGTCAGTTAGTTTGTTTGTTATTGGCTACTACAAATCAAGAAGGGAAAAGACAAGACTGGCCTGCGTAATCAGATGTTTGAATTCAGCGTTCTGAAAAATCCTCTTATTTCTGTGCTGCACAGCACCACGAACTCATAAAACACTAAAAAATCCAGTATAGCACGCAACAGCTGTACTGCATAATTACTTGGCCCAATAGCAGTAGTTTTAAAATACTGGTAGATCTGTTGCAGGCCACCATACATTATCATCTCATTTTCAATAAAAAGTCTGGGATGTTTCAGATGAGCTTCAATGGAATTAGAATCATGTGTGCTTTGAAATATTTATGCTTGCCTTGAGATGGAAGGATAATTCCTGCCTCCAACCCCCCCACACAAATAACAGATTTAATAATGCCAGATAGTCCAACTCCTCCGTACCTACAGCAGGTAGAAATGAAGTTCTGATCTGGAATACGCATATTTTCAGAGGTTGTAGAACTTATATTGTATGTCATTTAGTGAGGTCAATAATAAAATATAAATGCCACAGGCTGAAAGACGCCAAGAGAAATATGGTTTGGCAGCATGGAGCTGCTTAGGGATACATAAATAATAAGTCAATAAGTAAATAAATAATAGACAAAGACCTGTTTTATCTTCCATCTGAAGAACTCAAAGAATTTACAATCACTGATTGAGACTTGTAATATCCCATCAGAAGCACGTAAGTAGTAATAGCCCCTTCTTATACATGGGAAAACTTGCATCACTCTAGGCATGGTTTTCAGAAACAATGACAATAATTTTTATTAAGTGGTTCTGAAAATCATGACTGAAGGGGCTTGTCCATGGTCACCTGCCCCTTTTAGAGGCAAACAGGGAAAATAGCAACCTGCTCCAGTACTTCACATCCTTTAACTGATTAAAAATGTTTACGAGGATCCATATATTTGGGAATACAGTTGTGTTCTGCATTCAGAAGTTGTTTGAAAGGCCATTTTTGCATGCGCTGGAGTTGGTGACCACAACACAGCTATCAGAGTAATGGTCTGTATCTGGGCCAGCAGTTTTTAGACTTCAGTATTTAATTCTCGAGTATAAGGCAGGCACGCTTGTAATGTTGATTAGTTTAATAGTAGTAGATTCTTCTTCCTCAGATCAAACAGCCCTTTCTTTTGCCATTTAAGAAATTTGGTATTTCCCAGTCAGAGACTGCAAAAACAAACCTTTTGGAGATCCTTACTCCATTTGTTACTTCTTATGCTAATCCATCTACTCTGAGAAAATGAACCCTACGTGTCAGTATATGGCGCAGACTGAGGACTGATGCCTATTCGGTCTTGTTTCCTTCCCTAAGTCTTTCCCGTGATCAGCAGAAAGCGCTTCAAGGTTGCGCTGAGGAGTTGGCCAAGTCTCTGAAGAGGAACCACTTTCTCCTTCTTGCGGCACTTAACCTTCCTGAATTATTGTTGATCATTTCTGCATTCACTTTTCTTCTCTCTCTCTCTCTGGGAAGATCACCAACAAATGGTTTGCACTTTTTTTTTCTACCTTGACATGCTGAGGAGGTCAGGGCAACAGAGAAAAAGACCCAAGACTTACATGCCTATGAGTATTTCTAATAACCATAGTACATCTTTCATACAGCAAATCAAATTATTAAATGAAGAGTTATACCTTGGAAAAGCTAAATACAGTGCGGTCTTAGGCCTCGTTTTGCATTTCCGCCTGTTGCCTGGGTACAGTATTTTATTCCTTCTTCTTTGATTGAAATAGCATTTCTATCCCCTTTTCACCCAGTAGAAGAAAGGGAATAAATTTGTTCCCAGATGTGTACAGAGGACAGTGCAGTTACATAACAATTTCAAATAGTATTAACAGAGCTGGTGCTAATATGATTTTTTTAAAATAAATATTCAAAAAATCCCAATCTATTTTTTACTTTTAATTTCTCACTTTTATCTTCATCTTCCATTTGACATACAAGGAAAGGGGGAACTATAAAAAGGAGATATGAAGGAAGAGAGGACACACTATATGCTAATGAAAATTTTGTTGTAGTCATCAAAATGCTTACCACCAACTTTAGTTGAACTAACATTCCTGGCAAAATATTTTGACAAGCTCTAAAATGCCTGTTGCTTCCTGGAGAAGGCGATGATACATTCATACCTGTAAAGTGGCTCTGACGTAAGTGTCATTAAAGCAGTTACACCTCAGGGGCTGGTGTAAGTGAGATCAGAGGTCGACACTTTGGGTGGAATTCACCTAACTGAAGGTGCATGTGTAGACTGGAGGTATCTACCTTGGAGCTAGTATCGGTGACGTCCCTTCACATCCACTGGTGAGCCAATCAGCATCGTCAATGAAGTCCAGTCAAAGGCAGTGGTCTATTTTTGGGTGAGATGAATGGCTCCTTAGACACCAATGGCTCCTTAGACACTGAGTTCTTTTTAGTTCTCCGTTGATTCTAAGATAATTAGCTCCATGGTAGAACCCACATTTAAAAAGGTGAATCCCACATTATCTCTACGTTTAATAGCACACTTCAAAGTTACAGCCTCTCCCAGGAGTTTGGGGACAGGAAAACAGCCTTAATTTCTTCCTTTGAAGATTTGGGTTCTTTATCTGAAGAGTTTTCAAATATACTGTAATTTAAGATGCAAACTCAGAACAAAACTATTTGTCTTAAAAGTGAATAAGAAATAATTAACTAGGTTTGTAAAAACAAGAGATAAGCCCAGATGTGCAGACAGGCTGAACGGGCTGGGCACACAGGTGTTTGCCTTGGCCTTGGAATAACTGTCAACATTTCCATAACAAGGAGTGTGGGATATGCTGCTTCTTGTTTCCTTTTCCCAAGTGCAGCGTTGCAGAGCTAGCACGGCTGTGGGAAGACACTGTTTTCCACTTCCGCCCATAGGCCACAAAATCTAGCTGTTATAAGACAGGTATAGCCTACGCTGTCAGAAGAGATTCACGGGATATACATCGACTTTGATCAAAGACAGCTGAAGGCTGCACGCTCCCTTTTGGTTCCTCACCTCCATGCTTTCTTTCAGTGGTGTTTTCCCGTTGCACGGGACGCAGTTTAGTACCACACATTTAGTACGTGTTTCTCTCTCTGTTATGAATATTTTAAACTGTATTGAGGGGAACAGACTGGGAGGACTCGTGGGGTTAACAAGGTTACAGGGGGGGCTTTTCATGGCAAGGATGAGAGCTTCATATTCATCCCATATCAACACCCCAGGCATGAGTGCAGCTCTTTTTGGTGGTGGTGGTAAAGTAATCATTCCTATCCAGTCGTGGAGAAAGAAGTACATAGAAGTGCTGCCCAGCCAACCCTTAATGAGTGTTTATAGGATAATGCAGTAGGTTTCCTTGCTGCTGTCTCTGAGCTCGTTTTATCCACATCTTCAGGCTCTGAGTTTGCTAATGGTTTAGTAATGCTTAAGAAAAAAGTTATTAGTAAAGTGTCATATTATTAAACTGGCGATGAACAAGACTAAGTGGCAGATTTTAGCTTTTATTTGACTGAGGGTTTTTCATAACATTCGTCATGAAATGAGTGTTTGCTCGTTTGTATTTGATTTTAGTTAACTTTCCTGCATCTCTCCAATTTTTCAAAAAGTGCCAAAGGCTGTTTTTTCCCTCTTGTATATTTAACTTACTTCAAAGCCAACACATGAGTTTCTGGTAGGGTATTACCTCCCTTGCATAGCCTTTACCTAATCGGTTATGTGTGGTGTACAAGTGCAGAATATGCACACGAACACCCTTGAAAGATTACTAGGATAGCATGCCAAAGGAGCAACGGGGATGTAATGATGATCGGTTGGTGAGAAATAAACTACACTTTACGGATGAGCTTCTGCTCAACCAGATAAATTGGTCATTCTAAAGGAAAAGCGAATTCTCATTTTTAGAAGGGAAAGGGAGAACTCATAGCACTATGAATGGCGGCAGTTGCTACCTCGTGGTGACAGCTATCAGTGGAAAGCACTGCTAGCTAACACGGGTCCAACCCAATATATCTTGAAGGCCAAGGAACTGGGCAAGGTGTCACATAACGTTAGGAGAGCATACGGCTCTTCAGCTGCACTTGTAGTTCTGCTGAAATCAGCTGAGGGTAAAATCTGTCATTGCCAATGGGCTTGTGTACATTACACCTTTACACCTTCACTGTAGTACATTTTCCAGCTGGCTTGTTGGCCCATAAATTCACCAAATAAAACTCCATCCCTGAATGCAAGCTGGGGACTTGCTGAAGATTTGAGCCTAACATTATTCAGGAGAAATGTAAATGTAATTTTCAAAACGATCTTGCCACTTTGTGCATGTTCATTAGATGAAAATACGTTACTTAAAATAAATGTTCCTAAACTGAGGTGGAAAAAAAACCCCAACAACAGGAAGTGTTAGACCATCTTTAAATGATCAGCCATTTATAGTACAATATAAAATGGATTCATATGTGCAAATCCAAGTTATATGAAATGTCAGTTAAATCAACCCTAATCTCCCAAATACATTTTTTTATTGCCTGATTGATTAGGACTGCTCTTAAGGTGATGAATAGTTTTCACTTTCACAGAGGACTGCTGATTCCTTTTTACGTGTCCACTAAAAACACAGAAAATCCTTTAAAGTGTCTGGCTCCCTTTGCTTTCAGGATCTAGATGAAGTGAGTGTAGGACACAATGTGGTCTAATATATTAATTGTGAAGATCAGATGTATAAACAATACTGTACATTTTTTAAAAAGACTAAAAGTAAAACTACGGTAGATTTAAACTGTTTTCTTTTCCGAAGGCAAAACTCTATATAACTTCTTTGTTTTCTTTCCTATAGCAAGTCCACATGCAACACCATCGACTCTTCATTTTCCAACATCACCCATTATTCAACAGCCTGGGCCATACTTCTCACACCCAGCAATCCGCTATCATCCTCAGGAGACTCTGAAAGAGTTTGTCCAACTTGTCTGCCCCGACGCTGGTCAGCAGGCTGGACAGGTGGGGTTCCTAAATGTAAGGAAGCCGTTTTTATTTCTTCAGAAGTGTTTGTCCTATGTAAAATTAACCATGGGATTATGGGATTATTTTAACAGCATGTTGCATCCAGGAACACACCTTGAACAGTCGTTGGAAGGGAAAAAAACCTGCTGCTACTGCAAAAATATTTAAAAAAACAACAAGAAACCTCCCCAAAAAACCACTCGACCACATTGTGGTGAAATTAACTTAAACTGTCAGAGAAGCTGGTGATACAGTGACCTTTTGGGTGCCTCCACAAATGACTTTGCTGCATGCGTTGTAACCCTAGTGGAACGAGGGTTAACAAAATATGAAGGCAGAATAATTTTTATTAATTATTTTTGAAGTTCAGGGGAGAGTGGGGGGGAAGGAGCAGGAAAAGGGAGGGTGAGAAACAGATGTTTCAGATCAGCTAAGTTCATTAAAAAAAAAAAAAATACTGCCTTATAGCACTTTAGATCAAGTTGACCAGTACTTGAACTCAAGATGTTAAAAGTACAGTTTATTATGGTTTGTTATTTCTGTAAGCAGTTATCTTTTCCCCTTATCTCTATGAAAAATTAAGCAGAGTTCCAAAGCTTCAAATAACCATTTTCATTTTTTTTTAATCAAATAAAGTGAATCATCTTGCTATTATTGAAATAGCATTCCGGTCAAATACAGAATTTATAAATTTTATGTAAATCAAATCTAAAATAATGCTCTGAATATTTCATGAAATGTAATGCATATAACTTTTTCCAACCAATGAAGTAATAACTGGCAAAATTACTGTTTCTCTCCTGACATACATACGATTGAAAGTGTTAATGAGAATTAGTTTAATTATTAGCATCTAATTTATTACACTTATTTAATAAGCTATATTGTTCTCAGTGCTTTCCTTTCCCTAGCAGAAAAACTGACTCTACTTATTCCAGCCAGTGCTGGCTTTGAATAATGTCTGCAATATGTTAGCAGATACATTTATGTCTAGACAACAAATCAATATAGTGCTTTTCTTTTTCCTTGAGTATTCATTTGCTTAATTTATCCCAAACCATTCAGCATTATGAACTGTTAGCGCGCTCACAATGAACATACAGCAGGGGTCTTCTTGGCAGGAAAGGGACCTAATTGTGAGACAAGATAGTGTTTGAGAGATGTCACTAATATATTAGTTTATTAAAGGTACTGGGTGTTGGAAAAATAAATATCCCTGAAGGATTGCTTCTTACTGCAAACACTAGTAACTGCAGTCTTTGAAGTCAGTGGGAGCGCTGTTAAGTTAAATGCAGATGAATTTGAGTCTTATTTATGCCCTGAACCA